AAAATTAACGGCGCTAATGAGGTGAACCTGGAAGTGCTGACTGGTATCTGCTTGCTCCTGCCCATGAGCTGACGGGGGGCCCGCCAAAGTGCACATGTGGGAGTAAGCAGGTGTCCGCCCGATCCCAGATGGGTTGCAGAGGGTACAAACATTTCCTAGCAGCTCCCTGCAAGCTGGGTGCCCTGTGCCAGATGCAGAAGGGCTGGGGAGGGGCTGTGATGCTGGTGGGACGGTGCCTGCACAGGGGGGTGATGCTGAGATAAGCTCAGGACCTCAGATCTGGGCCCCCGGTGTGCAGGGAGCATGGAGGTCGGCACACACCGACCTGGGGACCCCCCATAGCCACCAGGACAAAGTGCGTGGGGCCAAGAAGGTGGCAACCAAGCACCAGCCCCTGATGTCCTGCCATGCTCACATGGTTGGAGAAGGGAAACTGAATGGAGACAACTGCTTTGGTTTGCCCCAGCTTCAGGTGCGGGGCTTTGCTCCGTTGGCCGTCCAAGCGCCCGGCGTTGAGCAGCCCTGCAGCACCGCAGGGACAGCAACTGCTCTCTCGCTGTCTGTCTGCTCCTGACAACGGGGCTGAGAAGAAGCAGACACCCAGCCCCGATCGGGGCTGGTTTATTGCTGATAATGATGTGTCGCTGTGCATGAATTACAGCGTCAGTCAAAGGGCACGCGGTTAGGTGTGTACGCTCACCAATATTAATTGGCAGAGGCTGGTCTTCCCGTGCTAAACAGCTGTGCTTGATATAAAGCATAGAAATTCATTTATTGGAAAGAGCGCTAATTAACCTCTTCAGAGCTGAACTCGGCTAGCCCTGTGACCGGGATGTGTGTACAGTTATTTATTTTAATGCTAAGTGCAGGTGCCAGGAGGACAGCCTCTCCTGGCTCTGGAGAAGCGAGCGCTGGGGTTGTGGCTCAGCTCAGTGTGCCAGGCAGCACACGGCAGGGTGGATTCAAACTGCCCAAAACGCTGCTTTTTTGACCATCCCTGGCACCAGGGAGCCTGCAATCAGCCCAGGGAAGCCTGGTGCAGAGGAACAAGGCCTACACGGCCGTGTTATTGTAGGGTCTAGCGAAATGCAGGTGTCAGAGAGCTGGGTCCCGGCTGCCCCATGGCCGGTGCCCCCCAGCCACTGTGCTGGCTTTGCCAAATGTGGGTACACCCTCAGGCTCCCTGACATTTATTGATGCATTGCTCTGTCTCTGCGCCTTGTTTGCCATGAGCGCCAGACGAATTGCTGCATTTTCCTATTTATACCTCATTCTGATTGCCAGAACTCAGCACAAATTCGATACAAACTCGCACCACACGGAGACCATTCCCCTCCCGATTCCCCCAGGAGCGGGCTCTGCCCTGGTGACGGCCTCCAAGCCGGAGGAATTCACAGCGAGACGAAGCCCTTTTTCTTTGTGAGAAGGATTTCCCTAAAATGCCAGTTTATGCACTGAGTTGGGGAACCAGAGGGTGACTGCCTCGCAGCTGTGTCGTGCTGCACCACCACCAGCGCTGGAATCGCTTGGCCTTGCCCCCACAAGGGTCACTGCGGGTCCCAGAGGGGTTTACACGCAGGCTGAGCAGGGAGCTGATGGCTCAGGAGGGCAGTGAGCCCGGAACCACCCAAAAACCCCCCAAATCCCCGTGTGTGGGCCCGCAGCGGGGCCTCCAGGGCCGGGCGCGGGCCGCGGGCACCCCCTGGCGGGGCCTCGGCGCCTCCCGGAGCCAGCGGGACGAGAGCGGGGCCGGGGCCTGAGGGGGAGCGGGGCCGGGCAGGGCCCAGGCGGAGGCGGGGAAGGGGAAGAAGAGGAAGGAGAAGGGGAAGGAGAAGGGGAAAGGGGAAGGGGAAGGGCCCGGGGCCGAGGCTGCGGCTGCCGGTGCTCCGGGAGCTGCTGGGCAGCGGCGGGGTGAGCGGTGCAGAAAGCGTCAGCTCCACTTTCTGCCTGCTCCCTTCTTTTTTTTTCTTTTTCTTTTCTTTTTCCTTTTCCTTTTCTTTTTCCTTTCCTTTTTTCTTTTCTTTTTCCTTTCCTTTTTCTTTTCTCTCTCTCTTTTTCTTTTCTTCCCTCCCTCCCTCCCTCCCTCCCTCCCTTTCTTTCCTCTCTCTTTCTTTTCTCCTTTATTTTATTCTTTTTTTTTTTTTTTGCTTTTGCTTTCCCTTATTTTATTTTCATTTTTTCATCCTTTACTTTCTTTTTCTTTCTTTCCCTTTCCCCTCTCCCCTCCTCTCCCCTTCCCCTCTCCCCTTCCCCTCCCCTCCCCTCCATGCCCCTCAGATACGGGGCAGTGCCGGGGGCTGTGGCCCCCCAAGCCCCACACTGGGCACTTTGGGATCCCGGAGCCCCCAGGGCTCCACCTTTCAGGGGTCACCACATCGCAGTGATGTGCATACCCCATGCAGGCCACCCCATGACCTTGGTCCAGCCTTCCCAACTGAGCGGGATTTCTCCCTTTGCTCGTTTCTGAAGCCAGGAGGGGCTGGGGGAGGCTCAGCTCTGTGCCCCCATTGGCACCAGCGCAGGTCCTTGGGGTCTTCTCTGCTCTGCCGAAGTGGGTCAGCGGCAGCCCCGTCTCCGAAGGCACAGATGAATGGGATAAATCGGATTCAGCAAGCCAGGGGCCCTGCCTTGCTCCCCTTGGGCCCAGGGGTGCCGGCTGCCACCAGAGGGACCAGAGCTTAAAGCACAGCATGGGGTGAATTCAGCATCACTTGTAGGGGAGATGGAAGAAAAACAAAAGAACCTAGAAAATACCGACCTTTGATTTCTCGCTGTCTGACCTTCCCAGAACAGAATTAGTTAGCAAGGAAAAAAAAATATCTTCTTACATCCTCACATAGCAATTTTCTTTTTTTTTTTTTCCTTTTTTTTTTTTTTTTTTTTTTTTTTAAAGAAAAGCCTGAATTGTGCTGGATCTTAATGACTTTTGGAAGACAGCCAAACCCCTAACACCGCAGGCGTATGATTTTTCTCTCCTGGAAGCACCAAACCACCCCCGGGAAGCAGCTTTCCTGGCTGCTGCACGCTGCACCAGCCTCACACCTTCCCCCCAGACACTTCCAATACAGGGCGGAAAATTGGCGTTTGCTGCCTGAAATAACTTGTGCAGGAGGGGACGGCGCATTGCTGAACGCGGTGGGGAGGAGGCACCCCTGGTGCTGTCCCTTGGGCATGAGGTGAGGCTGGGTTGTAGGGATGGAAGAGATGGAAGTGTTGAGCACCCCCTTGGCCCCACAACACACTGTGGTGCCCACTCCCGCAGCAGCACCACCACAGCGAGGGCTCCACTTGCCTTCTGTGTGTGCCAGCAGGGATTTTCCCTTTTTCCCTTCATTTTAACCTACCTTCACCAAGCACCAGAATCGGGCTGCCCTGCAAAGCCATGGGAATGGCGAGTGGTCCAGCAACCCCACTCCGTTACCACCTACTCAGCTCAAACAAGGTCTGAGGCTCTCTCTCTTAATTGCTGTTTCAAGAGAGGAAATTTGGCAGCTTTTTCATCGCCTCACTGGGCATAGCACCGCTGAGCAGGTGAAGCCGCCCTCTCATGTGATGTCTTTTCAAGGGCTTTTGTTATTTAGGAATGTCCAGAGCAGCAGTAAGCCAGTCCGTTATAATTATGCGCTGGCATGAAAACATTGGCCACGTTAAAACTTTAAGTAGGTCAGGCAGCCATCTGGTCTTGCTGACAGACCTCCACAACCAGTTAAAGATTCTCATTTTAGAAACTTTATAGCTTGGACAAAAGCTGAAAGACCAACCATAAATGGATGTTTCAGCCACTGCTCCAACTGCAGCGGTTATAAAAACCACAGCCTGACATTTATTGGCTCCTGTTTTAAAAATAGCGAAAGCTTTGTCTACCAGTGAAAAAAAAAATAACTCCCCACATGTGATTGTCTCAGCCTCCCACCCAAAAGGCATCAGTGGAGGAGGCAGCTGATGAGGATGTGAGCCACCACGGAGCCCAGCTCCCTTGTGCTATACGCCTCAATCCTGGAACAGGGCGGCATCAAACCCCGTACGGGGGGGTGGGGGGGGGCTGTGGATCTGCTTTGAACAAGAAAAAATTCTTGTACCTTTATATTGTTAATTTCAGTTGAAAAACTCCCAACCTTCACAGCCTTCTAGCAGCTGCATCAGCCAACCTAAACCACGGAGTGGTGCAGCTGAATGCTCACCTTTAAAGGTTCCTCTCCCCAAGCACCACACCAAGGCAAATCCTGGAGAGCTCGGTGCAATTGGAAAGAGTAGGATTTATTGGCAGTTTGACTGCTCAGGCAGCTGTGCCTGCACTAAGACCGCTCAACTTTTCCCAGGACTGTACACGCTCCACCTAGGGCAGCATTCAGCCGTCTATTCTGCCAAGAAGTCTACGGCACACGGTGGTTAAAAAGAAATCAGCATGTGGAAGAAGAAAGAATTATTGCACTTGCTGGTTCAGGTGACCAGCCCCATTTCAGGCTGCACAAAGGGCAAATGAAACACACGTATTTGTACCCCCGCTGTGCTAAGCTTGCCAGTGAAAGCCTTTTACATAATACACATAATGCACTCCCCAACAAACGCTGCTGCGAGCAGCTCAGCTGTGGCTGCAGCTCCCTTTCAAACAGGGATGAAGGACTATAAAGTCATCACATAATCCATAAAAGCATGAAAACCCTTTCTCTTTTAGGGCTACCTGAAGACTTTTCCAGCACAGTGTTTTGTTCCTTTTGGCTATTCACAGACTAGTAAAAAACAAAGCGTGTGCACCTGTGTACATGTGCACTGTGGGGATGATAAGATTTTGTTATAACGTGACAAGGAAGTGCCCAACAGGAGTAGTTTTCCCCCTAAAACCGCATTTCCTTTTACTTCTCAGGTTTCTATTCCCAACAAAGAGAGGCTGCTTTGCTGAAGCTGCACCACAGAAGCAGAGAGCCTCGCCTTCCCGTAACAGCACACTCGACAACCAGGAAGCTTTACGTCCAGCTGAATGGAATAAAGAGCCTGACCCCTTTTTCCAAACAGTTCACATTTATTATCGATAACAATAAAAAAATCTTTTAAAGACTATCTGTATTTTATTACCAAGAATGAGGTATTATGTATACAAAACATTTACAGAATTTGATATGCAGTTCATGAGTACAGACAGGTAAGTGCAGAGGGACACTGATAACAGGAAAAAAGCCAACAGAATTTGTTGGCTGAGAGAAGTAAGAAGAACAATAATATCACACAAGAAAAGACCAGGATATGGGAAATTAATTAGTCAGACTGTAATGATCAAGTCATATTGCCAGAGCACTTTGCTTAGAGGAGGATAAACTACTGGTTTTCTGGAATTTTATCCCCCCCAGCTATTTGTGCTGTCATGTGCTTTGAGCTCTAAAAGGAGTGTTAAGATTTACAGCCGGAAAAACCCAAAGTGCCACTTTTGAGCCAGCTCAAGTGAAAAACAAAACAGATCTTCAGACTTGGAAAGTGACTGCAACTCAAAAAGGTCTACAAAGCCAGACACCTCTGGAGAGATATGGAGTGTTGAGTGAAGCAGTTTCCTTACAGTTGTCAGCAAAATCGCCATCTGAGAGAGAGAGAGAGAGAGAGAGAGAGAGAGAAGAAAGAAAGAAAGAAAGGGGACCATCTTCAACCCTCACAGCCTGGTAAATGGAAAGCGCCACTTGCAGAGAGCTGTGAGTGCCTTTGTTAGCCTCACAGTGCCACCTGCTGCACTCGCTTCCCTCAGCCTGGGAATTCTGGCTCCTGCACATCAAGCACGAAACCACCTCTTCAGCAAGCTGCGTTCCTCCTAGACAGACAGCTCCTACGAACAGAACCACAGCCTGCTGGTCTGTCTGCTGTGCAGACACCGGGTGGGAGCTGTTTGACACCGAAGCGGTGGCCTGTCTTACACAACAGCACACTTTGGCAGACTCAGTGATAGTCTAACCTCCATCTCCAACTTCTAAGTCCAAAAGAGAAAAAATTGACCATCTCGGTTCAGTATAAGGAGACAGGCCCCTCAACCTGTGAATCTGTTGCTAAAATACTTCTTTGTCAGCTCTATCTGCCAGGTTCCGCAGCCAGAACTGATCTGCAGGTGAGGTGCTTCTAGTTAGAAGTTAGTAACCTGCCTCTCAGAAGCTTTGCAGTTATAAAAAAAAAATACAAATAAAATTTATTCTGAACCAGCTTTCCTCAGGCAGGATATCCAGTATTTTAAGCAAGTTCTGTTTTGAAAGAGCAAGACCGTAGCAAGCTCCTCTACCACTTACCCACGACAGTGCTAATTCCTCAGGAGTTAATAGAGCCTGTCCAGCTTTCTAGCAAGGACTTAGCAGAGAAGCTCTTTTTTTTTTTTGTCTAGATGGATAGTTTAGCTCTAAAATGGACAGACCAGGCAGGGTCTAAACAAAGCAAACCCTGTTGCATTCCACACTGAAATCTTGGCTCCACTGCCAGGTATGGTTTGTAGCTGTCTGCTGACAGCCCCTTGCTCAGCACTTCAGTCTTCTGTGCCCTTTGCTGTGCTTGGGAGAGAGGGCCCCAAGTGGAAGAACACCTGAACCAACTTCAACAAAAAGAGTTCAGGTAGGATTGCTTGGGCCCGGGTAGAATAGGGACAAAACCCAATATGGCAATTCATCACTAGCAGTAGCAATGGTGAAAATTGCTGAGCAGGCACCACTTTGAGTTCTACTGTATCACTTAGAGTGAAGATCCCCATGCACCCTGCCTACTTTAAAGCTTCTGTTGCTTAGAACTAAAGTGCTCTATTTCTGACACACACAGAGAGGGATAGGAGGCAAGAGGGATTGAAAAGTGCACCGGAAGGATGTAAGCCATACCTCCTCTCAACTGATTTAAGAAGCAAGCTTAAACTCTGCAGAAATTCCTGATAAGAGCAAAGTTGCAGTAAGATCAATTCATGGGGAGCGTACTAAGGAAGTGGAGTGAAGCTTCAGCACAGAACTGGGAACAAATCCCCAGGCCAGTTCGGGATCAGTGAGGGAGAGCCTGCTCTCTGCCTCTCTCTCCACAGTGCTTTAAGCGCAAATCCAAGGAAAGAATGAATTGCTTTAACCCATCAATACCCAGAGCTCAAATTCCCCAAAAATGTGCTCATACAAAAGGTATTAGTGTTTACAGCCTGTCCACAACTCTGTGGGCATGCCTTGAAAAAAATGGACTCACAAAGTCAAGTATCTGGCAACTGCTTTTCTTTGTCTCCGACATCGCTTAGTGGCAATGGGAGAACAGTTTGCAGCACTGGAAGATCACAGGGGATTTCATAAGATGGCAAGGAATGTCCTGACAGGAGACTTGCAGTTGATCTCTAATGCACTACGGAGAATTTTTGGTAGGGTTTTTCTCTTTTTTGCTTTTTTTTTTTTTTTTTTTTTTTTAACATTTACACAATTAAAAAATTATCTTAACTGATGTACAGATAATTTTTCCTTCCAAGAGAGCCCTTGTGTTCAGAGTTAGGATTTGTGCAAGCACACTTGCAAAAATATTTATGGCTGAGTTAGGAAAAAGGGTTAGAGTTAAGAGACAAGCTGTTGGATCTAACAAGGACCAAAAACACTAAGTTTAAAATTTGAACAGCTACTTTACTATCTATAAAAGGCTTTTTCTGGGGTAGGGTTTTTTTTGTTTGTTTCTTTTTTGCTTTTTTTGCACAATTGCCACTTGTATTGCAGTCAGCTGCCACAGACGAGGGTCCAGCCATCTCATCCATTTGCTTTTCATCTGTTGTGGCACTACCTGGAAATCATGGAGCTGGAATGGGACTGGCTGGAAGAGGTGGTGGCAGCACTGAGCTGGGAGAATCCACTGTGGCTTGATTCAAGGCTGGTCATAGATCCTCTGCAATAAAAAACAAAGTAGCTTTACACTTCAGAATACACAATGACTTTGATTTCTGCAGCGTATATACATACTATTTCTTTGCATACTCAAAAAGCTTTCCTGCCTCACCACATAAGATAACAGGGACACCAGAAAACCTTCTTGCAAAAACCATGTGCTGTTCAAAGAGTTTGAATTTCAGTAGGTATTTCAATTGGCAGGCAACTGAACTGACTCAACTCCTTTTTGAGTTGCATCCGTTTCTGCATGATGACCTGCCAAGCCCTACAACTCACACAAATACTTTCAAAGAGCAAAGTGACCAATGATTAGAATGAGATAACTAACCCCTTTTTGATATTAGTCACCCCCATTGCCAATACTGGTTGGACTTTTTTTTTTTTTGAGGCCTATAAATAGTTATCTAGCTTGCTGATAATGACACTCCATTAAAAAGTACAAGTCCTCACAATTTACTTGTATTTAAGTGAACTTGATGCTAGCTTGATACTGATAGTATAGCAAGGGAGAGCCTGTATCAGAAAGGTTCTTCTACACTGGCTGACCTTTATGATCCCTTGGCTAGACATACCTGAAATCTTCAGATCCTATTACTTCTGTATAGTACATCACTTTGCATTTGTGAGAGGAGACCTGTAGAGATGCTAGTACATCATCCACACGAGGCAGGTTGGTTGTAGCACAGGCAGGCATGCTATGAAATTTCCACTGGAGAATGTAGAAGCCAGGCCACCTGGTCACATGTGATCCCTAGATGTAGACACAGCCAAAATTGAAAATAAACTTTGTTAACACAAAGATCTGTAGAGTCAAAATTTCTTTTCCATGCTTAGAAACACTGCATATACGCTCCCATTTTTTTTCCTCAATACCAGTATTTCAGCTCATCAGCCAACTGGCAGTGCTGTGCAGCTGGGCTTTCCCCACACAATATACTTATAAAAGTTGTAACAGAACACCAGAGGTTCCTCCTCCTTTTTTTCCAGTGTCAAGGGGGTTAGGATTTATATACACTGAAAGTACAAAGTTCTCTTTTAAAACAATAACCTTTTCTCCCATTTATTTTTATCAATGGCTGTCCTTTGAGACTGAACAGAGCTGTCAAGAGTCCTGCTTCAGAGAAAGAGCAGTTCAAAAAGTCACCGCCCATATTTCTGAAGTTTAACACTTCCAACTAGATCACTTAGAGGAACACCTTTATCAAAGGCTGTTCAACTCTTATTTCAAGTCAAAGAGAATAGCAGTGGCAGAGTGTGATTGTAAACATGCTGCATGTAATAGCGTATTTCGTAATTAACCACAAAGTTGCAAATGCCATAAAAACAAACAAACAAACAAAAAAACAAACAAACAACTTTTTAGGACCCTTGGCCATAGGGACCTTCCTAAGGTGCCTATTACAGACACACATGGAGCTCAATCTTAAATTCTAGACTTCTCTCCTTACTGAGGTAAGACATTATGATATTCTTCAAACACAGACTGTTTCAGAAAATAGCACGTCTTGCTACTTTCTGCACATGCACTGTGTTCCAGGTAGCTTCCCTATCACTACCAGACTGATGCAACCTCCCCTCGCACCAGATCCCATGTATCCCCCCTTCCATGAAGCGTGCAGCCAGGAACAGAAGCTGAAATGTCGGCCAAAAGCAAGCAGACAATCCGGAGCTGAATCACCACTCAGTCATCAATAACATTTGTGAATTAGAACGTCTAGTTTTGGAGCTGGCTTCCATCTGCTCTTGCACAAGGATTTGGCGGGCTTACCTGCACGCTTTCCCCTTCTTTGCAGATAAGAGGCGACTCCACCATGCTGTAGTCACGCCCCAATTGCCAGACTTTGTCTATCAACTGGACATTGTTCCCACCAGGAGATGTAATGCTGTGAGCTCCCAGAGAGTCCTTTTTAGGAGGCTGTGGGGCTCTCTTGGAATGAAAGATGTTAAAAACAATGTCGCCTTTGCACACATCAAAATCCCATGTGATCACCGATGAAGCATCCACAATCTGAATGAGAACCTGAGACAGGAGAGAAGTTGTATTAGACAACAGCAGTTTGCTCACTAGAGACAGAAACTTTTACCAGAAAAGAACAGAACTTTGTATTGCTGGTCTTAATTTAGACTATTAAAAGGCATTCTAAATACCTTTTCTAAATCATTCTAAATCACTTTTCTCCTGATGGAGTGTCCTTATTTTAACACATGACCTTCAGAAGGTCTCAAGTTGCTTCTGAGAATATCATTCGTCTTTGTTATTCATTCCATTCAAGTCTATGTCCTTCTAAGCAATGATATTCTCTAAAGGGCAATGAGATGATACCAGAAATGGTCAGAAACTTCAGCTGTTAAAGCATTGTTACATATCAGAACTATAAAAGAACAAGCTGAAAGCAGGGCAACTGAACAATCAAGTTCTAAACCATTTTCAGACCAAGAGACAGACTCCAAAGCAGAGGGCTGAGATGAAAGAAAAGAAGGGTAGGGCTGCAATCATACCTCATGGGGAGCTCCTTTGAAGACACTTGCAGACTGGTAGATTGTTTCAGTCCAGAGCTTTATGTCTTCGTTTTCCAACTCTTCTGCTGTCCGGTAGAGGGACTTGGGAACCAGCCCACCCTCTGGTACTTCGCACTGAAAGCATAAATAGCCATTAAAAAGTATCCCCTCTGTACATCCACCCACTGTCATGCTGCCTGCTAGTTGCAGAAACAAAAACTCACAGCAAGTATTTTGAAGAATGAGATATGAACAGAATTTGAAAGCAATTTTAAAGCTTGCACATCACATATATGTACACGTATTTTACACAAGATACTAAAATAAGTGATCTAGTTTGCATGAGTTTGCAGACTCAAACACCAGAGGAACAGATCTTCTTTATACACAAGAGCCACTATTGCAGAAAAAAACTGTGCAAATGCTATGCCCTACACTGAAAACAGACATGAGCCACTTGAGAATCATGAGAAGAGTCCCAATAATGACTCAGAGTGCAAAAAATATCGCCTACAGAGAACTAAAGGAAATGGGGTAGAGTGGACTTATCGTAAGTTCCCAAACAGGTGAAAGGATATTGCAGTGAGGAAGTTAACAATTTTCAAGCTACAGCTGTCTTCAGCTGAGTACTGGAACTGGTTACACAACTTCCCTAAGCAAACTTCTTATTTTTTTTTTTAAAAAGTCTCCAGCAATGAAGTTCAACAACTGCCTACAGGAATGGGTTCCATAGGAGTGTTTGGGGCAGCAGAACTGAACTACATAAGAGAACTGAAAGGACTTTTGATAAATCATTTTTGTTCAAACATCCAGAAGTAAAGAAGAGAAGGAAAAGACCCTGTTATTGTCTGTGACCAGCAGGAAGTATTGTAGCAATTTGCTTTCTGGTAATGTTCACTTTTGCTTACTTCAGCAGTGGATTTTGCCAGCTTCTCAAGCTCTGAATTAGATGGTACAAACTCTTTGAACTCTTTTACTGCAGCTGTATAAAGCAGCCCACTGAAGATAAACGCATGGTCTGCTTTAAAACATCTAGCAGTACTCCATTATAATGAGGCTGGATTAACAGAACTAGATACATTTTCAATAATAGTACAGAAATTAATGTAGAAAATGTAACAGGGGCTTAAAAAGCAAGCCTGAAATGACTGTGTTTTAACACAGCTAAGTGAAAAAAAAAAAAATCTAAGCGTCACTGTAATGGAAGCTCCAGAAAATGACTAAGTTGTATTCCTACACCTCAGTCACACCAGCAAGCCTGCATTGTCAGGAACATTATGAAGGAAATTATCTTACAGTACCATTGAGATGTTAAATTGATGGATTTGATAGGCACCTATAGTCTAGGCAGGATGCAGTTATTAAGGCACATGACAAAGGAATGGGAAATTACAGTACACCACAGTAAAACTCATGTTTCAGTTTGTTGTGGGCAACACAGATCCCAATGTATCACACATGTGAGTCCTAGCTGTCTGTTAAACCCTACTAGCAGATGTGGCACTCATTTCCTCAGGTTCCTCATGGTATCAGTAAGTTCTTTTAGGTCACACAGACTCTTCTGATTAGTTGGTGGTGACGGTGGCCAATGAAGCCTGGTAGTCAGAATTAGATACTTTCAAGTGGGATCATGTACATGGGAACCTTTTTTTGACCATCAACTTTTCTGGGACAGTTAAGGCCACTATAGATGCATAGTTAAGTGAGAATAAGATTAAACAGCTCTTACACGGACAAGCACTGTCATTCTGACATGCTGAATCACTGGTATCACATGGTCACTGATGGTGACAACAGATCTTGCTGGTCTATCAGACTGGTGAAGATAATTTAACACTGATGCTTCTGAATGTCCAGAGCATTTCAAATCAGGGTGGGGGCAGACCATAAAATGGTACAGTCTGGCATAATGGATACAACTAACCTTTCATCTCGCTGCCATGAAAAAGAGGCAATGAAAGATGGATCTAATACTGCATCTTATGCCTTCAGAAAGATGCAAACAACAGAACCACGCACAGCTCCAGGCACCTATGTATCATGCAACAAATGCTAAGCTTGGGAACTGTGATAACACAATGGTTTAGTCACCCGCTGTGGCTGTAAGCTCATAATTCAGTTCTCCCCTTCAAAGACTTCCCTTTGAATTCTGACCAGAACCAATAGCAACAGAACAAGAATACAAGCATCAAAACTGAAGAGTTTAAAAGTTACATTGGTTTATGGATTATTGGAGATACTTTAAAAATGAAGGCAAAGATTTAAAATATTTGGGAAACTTGTAGCATATTTAATAGTCATCCTTGGTTAGTACAGGGGTTTTTAGACAGCAATTTATATTCTTTAATCTGCCTAAAACCTCCTGCCACCCTGAGATTGCTGAAAACACTGTACGCCAAGCTTTTCAACCTGGGTCATGCACAAGGTCTGCTCCACAATCTTCTTAATGCATCAAGGAACACAATCCTCTTCTTGCTCACTGCTGTACTACCATAGGTACTTTAACCTGACAGGTAACGGACACTGTGCATTTTAACTGTGCCTAGCTATTTTGCTAGTTATTTGAGAATTGCTGTAAAAGTAGTACTGTATTTCTCCTTTGAAAGTGCATCCAGAAGAAAATGCTAACTCTGGAATCCTACATCATAGCTCCCCCCAAAATTAAACATAGTAGAGAAAAGACTGCATCCCAGTCTTTTCTAGGTATCACTCTGTGCTTCTAGGCTTCTTTGTTCAGAGGAATGAGGGAAAAAAAAATAAAATTCACAAATAAGTTGCTATATGCAGTAATTTAAATTCATACCATGCACTCTCCACCAAGGAAATCAGGGATAATTTCTTTATCAATGTAATCCAGCAGTCCCCCAGGACCCTGGTAGTCATTTCCAGCATAAATAAGGAATTTCTTTCTAGTGTTGTCATCAATGAATGGACTAACCTATAAATAAAGAAAAAAACAACAACAAAAAACAAACAGAATAGATCAGGTTCCCAAATTTTTCTTGAGTAAATTTTGAAGAATCAGTTTGTATGAAGCGCTACCATCCTTGTTATGCAAAAATTCACATTATGAAGAAGCTAAATTAATTTACTATATAAGCAAGTTCTTAGGTAGGGTTTTTAAATCCATTCCAGGAATCCCACAAAAGATACATATCCAAACGTTAACATTTCCTGCTAATAAAGTCTGATTTCTGAAGTGCTTTTACAAACTACAAATGTGTAGCAGTGTACTGAGAGAACTGTGAGAGACCTTAAATTACAAACATACCAGTGTCCAAAGAACTGGAAATACTCGAGGCGCTCTCAGGATAAGAAGGCGACCCAAAGTCTCAGGGTAATTAGCTTCAACCACCTCAATGATTCTCAGCAATGCTTTGACGCCAGGTCGCCATAAATGCCGCATGTTCAAGCCTTCTAGATCTACTAGACAGGTCCAAGAGCTAAGTTTCAGAGAGATGAAAAGGGAAAAAAAATAAATCTTAGTGGCATCAAAATTCTCCTGTCTTATGCACATGTCCAGTGTTTTTGAAATGTGTGGACTCCACCGTATGATTTATTTCCCATATTTTAGCTCCGTGTTTTGTACTAACTGTTCACACTGGAGTTATAAATTCTTAGGATGGAAATGTTGTACAGCATGCCAAGCATGCTTACAGAGTATATGCAATGATCACTCTGCACATCGTGCACATCTCCCCAGACATTTCAAACTCCAGGCAAAGGCTAACACAAAGCCAAAACACAGTGTTGTCAACAGTCAGCCCAGATGTTAAACCATTGCTTTTACTGGGAAATCAACTAAGTGGCTGTGCTGCTACAACATAATCTAACATTCCGGGTGTTGATTTCCTACTAAGACAGTACAGTAAGAGTGCTATTACAACTCAAAGCTAATTCTGTTATCAGATCTCAGGATGGGCAGCTTTTTCCATAGGAACAGATGTGTTCTTAAAACTAAATATCGAGATTCAGCATATGCTCTAGTTATTTTCTAAGCTCCATCTCACCCTGGGCATGGACTCAAGATTTACAGCTGTGCTGCACCAGACAGTATCCACAAAATGATGCACAAGATTCCTATGAAACAGCAAGCACTTCTTCGTTTCACTTTAAATGTTTAATATGTAGTCCTTCAGGACTGCTTCTAGAAATGAAGATTCAGTAGACAGCACAGGTCCACAGTCATACACATGAAACCTACCTCTTGGATTCTATTTCTCACTGGGAGCTAGCACAGCAAGTTCTTTAGCAAGAAAAGATAAGCAGACATACCATGCATCCCTGAACCTTTACAGATTAAGGGAGGGAGTCAGAAATTGAAAAGAGTTCAAGAAACACAGTTTCATTTCAGAGCCAAGTCCTGCATTCATTCCACACCCTTAAATCCACTTTTCAGTTACTGCTCTCCTAAGTGACCCCTAAAATGACTTAAAGATGGGATAGCAAGCCATTTTTGGCTCAACTTTACATGAAGTCATGCAAGCATGTGGAAAACTAAATTGCAGGTTTCACTGGAGCCTCACAACCTTACCTTGATCAATAGTTGAATAACTGCATATAATGAATCGTGGCTGACAGAAGAATGCAAACAAGAATTGAGAGTAATGATCCTTGGTATGGACCATGGATCAAAAAGTGACATGAAAACAATACCTGAAACTACTGGAAAGGTTACACTGTGATATTATCACAGCCTGACCTTACTGGCAGCCTGTACCAACATCTGGCTATAAAATTCCCCAGAATTAGAGATGGGGAGTGGGCTGCATTGCTTTGCAGACTTCCAACAGCGTGCAGAAGCAGAATATTCCATATAGCACCATTATGGGCATGACTGCTGGAGCAAGTATTGTGTTTCCCTCAGGCCTGACCATGCCAATTCACTCAAGTGGTAATTGGGGTAGGTCTCAGTTAACTCTAACTGTGCTTATATATGTATGTGAGACACAGAGCCTACCCTTTGCTTGGTCTATTTAATAAACTGGCCTCAACAGGGTGATATTGCACGATGTTTTGTCCTGTCCACCCCCTACCCTCCCACCACTGTGACCTGGTAATCCCTGAAGAGATCTAATTGATGTATTTTACCTTATTGGTCTGCCAAATACTTTCGTGTTCTCTTCACATCGCCTCAGTCCTTCTTCATTTATAGAAAGAACCTGTCCAAGAAAATATGCTGTTTAGAGAAGAGCCTAAAACTCAGTAGGTAGGATAAGGAAAAAAACGTTCTTAACCAAAGTCTAATTAAAACTACAAGCTCAAAGTGAAAAAAGTATTACGAGAGACTTACAACGACTGATTTTCAGAAAGATTACACAGAATAAAAACCAAAAAAATCAAAAAAATTGCTGATCCTACTTGAATACTTCAGCAAAGAGCTCTATCTGATAACGTGGCATCAGCTTTTTCCAAAGAATAAACTAGAAATCACTGTATTTAGCCCATCGGTTGATCTTGCTGAGAAATAAATATGCCTTTCCTTAAAACCTGGAACATGTAAACAAGATCCTCTTGAAAAGTGAGACCCAGGAATTATACAGACAAGAAACCTCCCTAAGCTTCTGTCCCTTTAAGCTTTGATTTCCTATTTACTCAGAAATTAAAGCCCCTTTCAGCCATAGAAAGTAACCTTGAAACAAAACTAGGGCAAACAAATAAAACTTAATATGTGCCTCGAAAAGCTACTGGAAGAGAAAAAGTAGAATTCAAACCCTGCTTCTAGTAGTTACTACGGCCATGACTGTCATTACTTGGAGGAAAAAAATATTATTGAAAACCTGGAATTCTGCCAGCTTTCTGCCTGGAAACTGAGCAGATCCACAATAACAGTCTGAGCGCTGCCTTCAGAGAAGGCAACACTGCAAGAAAGTACTTTTTCTTTAAAAATAAGTTATCTTTATCCTTGGTACATAGGCTTGAAAAATCTGAACATGGCACTTTCTCTTCTGCACAAATGCAGAGACTTAAGTTCAAAGCAGTGCACAAACTGCAGAAGAATCTGTGAAAATGCTAACCAACAACTACAGGAGCTGCCAAGAACTACGCCTTTCCGCCATCAGTTTGCAGTTGGAAAGAATGCAGAAGACCAGCTACCAGGAGCTTTCAGATGTATTCAAACCGAAAACAGACGGCCAGAGAGTACATCAAAATATCCAGTGTGATGAATGTTCTGGCAGAGAAGGAAGTTTCTAAATGAAAATATCACATTGTTAGCAACTTGCTGGCTCCAAAAACACTTACGTATCGAAGCAAGGCCTCTTCCCCAAGAGCTCGCACTAAGCCTTTGGTATCCATCTGTCCCAATCTCAGCACATACAGCGGGCGACCATCTGAATAACAAGAAAAAAAAATCAACATAACCTTTATTTTTACAATAATAAATAAAATTGAGTGAATTACCTTTATGCTAAAAATCCAAATGGAAACAAATTATAGTCAGTTCAAATTCTGCTGCACAGGTGAAAGAGGGAGTAACTGGAACAGATGGCAATACAATCTTTACTCTGTCCACCTACAGCACAAGATTACCTGTATGTGAACTGCAAAGGTTTAATGGAGACATCTTGATGCAAAAATAGCTACCCTATCTACAAGGAAAGTCCAAAGGACTTCAACAAGTACAGTTATAGATCTCAGTACATACAATTAAAGACACAGGTCTATGTTTACCTTCCAGCACAGCTAAGATAGAAGAACAACTTCAGCCTATTAGCGTAACTAAAGAGTTGCAACAAATGATGAAAGCCTTCTATCACACATGACAACACAACAGGATAGCTTACAGGACCCTTTTTGGGCAAGTAGCTACACTAAGTGCTGCAAATTAATGAAACAGTGTTAACCCCAGACTTGCTTTCTGCAGTATTTGCTGAAGTCACACCTTTCAGCTATGTCATTGCATATTATGCGGAACTGGCACTCAGCCTACAGCCTCACTCATGCAGTTTAAGTCTGGTGAGAACAGACTCTGCTCCAGATACTGGCTTCAGATGACCCTCTGCATTCAAAGACTTGCCTTTCCACAGTACTCTTGCCACACACCAGGGTATCGTGATACTGACCCAGGATACAAAGGCATTAAGCTTAACAACTGCAATAGGTGAATTTGGGAACAAAAGCTTGCATTTCTGGTTCTTCATAATAAAAGCTAGTTGTCTGAAATAGTTTCCATCCTCCTCCCAAAGCTGTGATGTATTTGTTAAGCATTTGCTCCACCTGTTATAGCACACAAGCTAAATAATCATCATCTTATAAAACTTAATATGCTAAAACACAAAAAAAATAAATGTTTTCTGCAGTTCTGATGTCTGTTTAGCTTCACTTCCCTCCAAGAACTGCACAGAGAAATAGCAAATTATCCTCAAGTCCTTTGGGAGACAAGGAGAGAAACTATCGGGATGCACTATTTAAAAATTAAAAAAGATTTGCAGAGTCAAACAAGGTTATTTATTTCGCGAGGACACTACCCTCATGCAAGTTCACAGAGTCTTTTGTATTTTATCAGATGGTCTAAAAGACAGTATTATTTTAACATCAGCTCACTCTTATCTTGGAATGTATTGTTTAGTGTCTGAAACACTGAACAAAAAGTGCTATTAAACTTCATTGCGGTTCTCCCTCCCTCACAGATGCACACGCATGCAAAGCCAAATAGTTCATTAACCCTCCTCCACTCAAATGACACAGGAAGAAAAGTCTCAATTGACAGTGCTACATTTTCACTGTATATTTTATATTTCATTTGAGCTTTGTGATTTAAAATAAGCATTTGACTGAAGCACTCTTGACAAACTAAAAGCCGCTCAGATATAAAGAAAACCATGCTAGTTGCAAACCAAAATAACAACTTTTATTCTTTTGCATTAACAGCTCATTTGAGACAGCATGCTTTATACCACTGCTGCCTTTGCTTTAGTGCTAAAATCTATACAGAACTCAGCCAGCTTCAGTTTGGCAGATTTTGCTTATGTGGGAGGAAAGAAGCTTATGAAAGGAGCAATACTGGAATAGAGGGTTTAAAAAAAGAACCTACCCACTGCAAAAATTTAAATTATAGAGAATTGTTCGGTTTTGAAATTCTCTGTTTCCACTAGTGACAACTGCTATACTTGAGGGCATGGCACAGAAGAGACCTAAGGAACTGTGGGGGAAGAGAGGGGCACATGAAGCTCACGATAAGACTGAAGAACTTCCCAGAAAAACATTAAATTATTTTCTGTTGCATTCTACATCCTTCTACTCACTGGCAGGAACCTGCTATGTGCTACTGACAGAAATTGTCTTTGGAAAGTAAGGAAAAGGAACAGACAGAAAGGGAGAAAGTATTCACAATCCTTTTCCCTACAGTCTTTACAATCATATTGTTATTTTCCACTTTCTCAGTCAAACCCAGCAACAGGAAGAGCCATTCAAGCATTACAGCAATTAAACTTCTGCTGTGCCCCCCCTGTCTCCTGGCCACTAGCGCAGCCAGCTTCCTGTCCTCTCCTTGTAACAGGAAGAGCTCGCAGAAACAATGGTGCCTGGTGGGGAAAGGACTAAATCAGAACACAGATAGCTCACAGTAAGAGACCATTTCCGTATCTAAAGAGCCCAGCTAGCCTCAAGCAATGAATTCCAAAATGATTCATTTCTGTGCATGTATTAGCAACAAGACCAGTGCACGATAAAGCAAGCTGAGGGAGGGGGACGTATCAGGCACATATCCACGGTTTAAAGATCTGGCCATGCCTCACCATATGAAGTGAATTTAACTAAAACTTCTTCCCTTCTTAAATAAACCTGCTCTATTTGGTCTTTCAGCACTTCTTTTCATTAAGCTGATTGTAATGACAAATAAGTATTCACTTATGACATCTGCAGACTTATCCAACTTATTTACACTTATTTACAAACATCTTTTAATCACTGGAAGGGAAGAGTCAGTATTTGCATAACACCCTTCTAAGCATCTCAGAGCAGTATAGAAGTGTGATTTTTTAAAGCTACTGGCATAGCAGAGCTCGTCACAGAGTTAAATATGGTGCTATTTGTCAGACAGATTAGGACCTAAAAGTATGCTGCCACCAACTAACGAGCTGGCAACATCAATTTTAATGTGTTTAGTACATAATAACTGAGAAGTTCTACCCAGCTTTCTAGCCAGCTCCAGCTAACAGAGGAACAACCATCACCTTTAATTCAGAACATGAAAAGGCTGTTCAATATCCACAGGATAGAGCATACCTTTGTCATGGTGATGCCAGCCTCCTGCATAGTAATCCTGGAGTACTTGAGGAGGATTCCAAGTGTCTAAAATATAGTCTACCTGGTGCTGCTTGCGCCATGTCAAGGACTGGCAAAGGATCTCTCTTGCTTTATCAATGTTGAAGTCCCGGGCACGCAGGAATCTTAAAATGTGCTCATCCTTTGGGATCTATTAAAAACAAAAATTAAACAAAAACAAACAAGCAATGCAACTTTGTATTCAAGGTTTGAAACAAGGTGAAAAGAATGAATAATAAAAGCTGACAAAGGTGCAGCCTAGTGCCAATAAAGAGGATGGTATACAACACTGGAAGTTACTCAGGAAAGTCAGTCTTTTTTGCAAAAAAAACAAAAACCCTGTCACATATTGCAACTACCTTCATTTGAGGGATATAAAGACTACAAGAACTCTAACAATGATTTACACTTGTATGACCATAGTAATTCAGTCCAATTTAAATGAATTTAGCGATGAAACACAGACTGTGTTTCATTGCTATGTAACAGGAAGGCCTGGAAACTGAGACACATGCTCAAATCACAAGCCACTGGAAAACCCTTAGACTTGCTCTTCGTGTTTTAACAGACCACATTGCTTCCTTTGCACATATAGATATAAGAATATGTTTGACCAAAACAAACAGAAGTAAAAATAAGGTTGTTCTAGAATGAGGAAGACCTGTAAAACTGATGGTATTCCCCTTTGCTGGATTACTGGCAGTCTAGGAGGCAGTCACACTAATCATTTAAGCACCTCAGCACGCAAAGTCAGATGGACAGTAGCAATAAAATTCAATTACCACTGTAAAAACTTAATTTAGGTACTTTGTTTTGAGTTTGGAGGGCTACTTACCGCAACTAGTTAGCCACGTCAGGTTTGGCATGATGTTTTATGAGGTCCACCTTGCATCTCATGTACTGAGAGAGACACAAGAGACCAACAGTAGCTTACCTTGCCCTTGTGTGTCTCCTGAAGCCACTGTCTCAGCCGAATGAGGCAGCTTTCCTGCATTGGGGTCAAGTCACCCAGATACCGCTTGATGTAGTCTGCATCTAGCTTGTCTAAAAGGAGATGTACATGTGATTAGAGTGGTCCTGAAGTGACTGTGTCAAAGCAGCAAATGATTTTATATGCTGATATCTGAGGCAGAGAAGTTCTGTGCAGAGCTGAATAAGGTTTCTTTGAATCATTGAAAAGATGAGCAAAGGAACCTCCACAGTTATCTTAACCTGAAACTAGGAAGATTAATTTTCCTTCTGCAACTAAGAAAGGAGTAAAACCAGACATTTACAAAAGTGTTTTCATGTTATATTCAGATTTGTCTGTTCACAGCAAGTATAGGGCATGCTTCTTCTGGAAATACTTAAAGAAGCTTTGACCTAAACCTTCCAGTACAAGAATTCTTCCAAATTCCCTTACAGGGAAAAGAAGGTAACATCAGAAGACTGTGGCCAGGGAAGCTTCAGCCTTTCCCTCCCCGTTATTGGCATAGTTACACCCATCCCTGAGTTTCTGGGCAAGAAATAGGCTACTGATTTGCAGCCTAATGAACAGCAAAGAGAAAAGTTTCTCCACTCCTCTGAAGTTCACTCACTAAAAAGACCAGCTGATAGCAGCTATTCAAGCTCTTGCACAGGTCAGTGCTTTGCAAGCAATAACTTTATATGTTACCAAACAAGTAGCTGACATGTAAGTTTTCAGCTACCCAAGAGCAGCAGCACTGCGCTGAGAGCCTCTACCGTACAAAGAATCCCACTAAGCAAGGCAAACAACCATACCATCAGGTGTTCCTGCTGTAGGCTCGGAAGGGCTGCTTGAGGTGTTGAGGATCTCCTTATTGTTCAAGCCCTCCTTTGTGGCAGAGTCTGGTATATTAATAGCAGGTGAAACTGGCCGTCTTGTGTGGGTTGTGCTGCTCTCCGATTTACATGCAACGGGGGGAGTCCAACGAGGAACAAAAGTTATTCCTTCTTCCTCCAGCTGCTTCAGGTAGTACTCAATTATTTCTTTTCCCTTTAAAAAGAAGGCTTTATTTCAGCTACTAAAAATACTCATTTAGACACTGAAATGATTAGACTGGAAACACATTTAGCAGCCAGGCATCTCTAAAGATTCCACTTCCAAATACAGACTTACACACACGTACTGCCCTAGGCTAAAGAGTAAACAGCCCAGCTTTTTGACCACAGCAGCCTGTTACTTAGCAGCAGCTACATTATCTTTTGGTAACTTAGAGCCAGGCACTTCCTTCCCAACTGCAAGCTCACCTTTTTAATATTGCTGGTGTACTGCTTCATGGCAATCTTTTCCACTGTGCTTTCAAAACCAAAAAAAGATTTTATATCCAGACTTGCTGACTGTTCAAAACAGGTCCAGTCTTCATTGTCTGGATGAACCTATTAGTTAAAAGGAGATCATACAACCTTGTTATCTATTTGGCATTCTTTTTCCTCAAAATATTTGAAATGACTGTCTCTTCTTTTTCAGGTTCATATAATCAAACACACGCAAGAAGAATTTGCAGTCTTTTGCTTCATTCGCAAAACACAGATCGGAAAAGCCAACACTAAAGAACACAAAGTTGAGAAGCCCTCCTGTAGTCCCATGGCTAGCACAGCACATTGTCTTAACAAGCAAGGGGAGCATTGGAAAATACTAGTGCACAAGGGACTCACACATTTACACAATTAACAGTATCTCACTGTAGATATGGGCTGCGACTGTAGTGTATCATTGGAACAGAGTAAATATTCTGCAGTGAACTTTCTGCTTCTGCAGGTTGGACTGATAGAGCAAGGCCAGCTAGCTTCAAGACTGCAGAGAGTACAGTGTACACATTCCCCAGCACTGCAGTCTAGACATGTTTGCAACAGACATACCACAACAGGTCGTTCCCTCTTTAACTTAAGTACCTCAGTATTTTGTAGACAGGAAAATGTTTTACTTTGCTCTGCTGTGACAATGCTACAGAAGGACTGTGAACTTCTCATTTGTTTCACAGCTGAATAAACTATCAGGGAGGCCTTTGCTACTTTCTTGCCTTTTTAAGTTTAGAGGACTTCCAACTTTCTTCATAACTTACATAGCAATCCAGTCTGGGCTCAGAACTCACTGTTATAAAGAAACATCATCGCACGCTGCAATTCTGAGTATGCAGCTGTCCTGGCGCCTTAAGGTTCCCCTCCACCTCACAACATGCCAGAACTGCCTAGAACGGTATTAATACTTCATAACAAGACAACTACAGGAAAAACAAAGCAAACAAACACCTCCTCTCTTTTGTTTCTTCTGCACTGGGGAACCAGAGGTACAAGAATAGCTTGTACCAACTAAACAAACACAAACCATAATAATAACGTTTAAGAATCTTTCTGTCCTTCCATTATTTTGATCAAAGTAATTTATTTTAATTTAAAAAAAAAAAAGGATTTTTAAAAAATAATTTATCCTTTAAAAAGTTTCTGGTTTTATATTTACCTACCACTACTAGTTTCTTGATCAAGTAGAGCTAGGCCATGGAGAAGCATCGTGTTTTGTACATATTTACCACATGCACTTTTTTGTGCCACATTTCCCCTATTTAAATGCATCTTTCACCAAAAAATTACAGGTAGAAGAGTATTTTTAAACGTGCCTTGGAAATAATTGCAGAAATAATAATTAAAAATATAGGCTATTAGCATCAAGTGGGTTTGAATTCTAGTGACCTTTCAGCCATGGTTCTGTAGACAACAGGAAAACAATTTATTAGCTGCGCTAAAAAAGAATGCTACAGTGCTACTAAGTGGGTTCCATTTGCTAGCTTGCACCTGACCTTTAAAATCCATCCAGTTTTACTTCCACGAACATGTGCTGCATCAGCCTATGGGTACGGACTAAGACGCTATGAAAAGCCATGACCAGAAGGTAGCAGTAAGCACACCACCAAACTCCTTTGTATCAGAAAACATCTGCACTAAAGGCCAAAAACAGCCACGATGGAAAGAGCTAGGTTAAAACACTGCTGACAACGAACATTTGAGTTGAGCAGAAGGCAAATAAGCTATGCTGAACTTTGCTTTAACAGTTCTGTCAGGGTATCATCAGCCTCGACAAGCCCCACACTGCTATTACAGACCACAGATTTGCTTAAACAGAGCTGTCAAGCACCGCAAATTATGTTGTGTTCTGCTATCTGAGAAGATGCTCAAGCAAGAGGGTGCCAAACTTGTTTCAGTTCTTCAAGCAAGCGTGTTACATTTAACACTAACAACAATTATCACTCATGGCACTGTGTTGGTTATTTTTTCTTGCAAGGCAAAAGCCAAGAACAACCCAACTTCTGTTTGAGTTTTGAAATCTAAACACTGACTTAATTCCATCTGTGGCACCATCAAGAGCCTGTTACTCACTGTGTAACAGCAGTGCTCGTTAATAATGACTCTATTAGAGAAGGTTTCATTGTAGGCTTCTATATGCAAAGTCCTTTCTCGTCTGTTCAGTGAGTTCTTCTGGACAAAGTAGACGTAATCCACTCCTGCAATCTGAGGAGGATAACATAGATTTTGTTAAGATATAACATTCACGTGAAATAACATCCAAGAATGCAAAACAGGCACTTCAAATCTAATTACCTTTTTCAACAGTCGTGGTGCGTCTATATCCAGCTTGCAGCGCCGTTCAATGACATGGATGGCTTCATCCTCGCTCTTGTATTCGTTCACTGTGTCACTGGCTACAAACATAGGAATCAGAGGACATGTAGGAAACCTTCTTTCATAAGCCTACAAAGATGGGAAGAGAAGAAAACAAGCTATTATCACAATTAAGTCTTGAGGGTCTGTGTAGCGTTCCTTCACCGACATCACCAGCATTAGAAGGCAGCTTCAAATTTTTACACATTTAGTAGAAGGGATCCTTCCTGGAGTCTACATTATAGCTCAAAAATCACAGTTCACAATCACATGGTTCCAAACCAACCATTTCTTAAGAAGTTCTTAACACAGCTCCACTCCAGTAAAGTAATTTCTAAAACAACACATGAAACACCTCATTCCGCCCCCCACCCCTTTCCCCCAAAAGGAAATTGTTCATTATGCACAATGACAATCCTCCTGTCAGGAGTAACAGGAAAATAAGACCCTCTAGTTCTAAAATACCACAAGACAAAACAATTATATGTTGGATTAAAAAAAAACCCACAAGCTAATTATCGGTGTTTCACCAAGCTGTCTAGAGGGTTTTCCATACAGCTCCCAGAGGCCTAATAAAAACATTTCAAAGCCTATTTCTTAAGCTAATGGAGCTCTCAAGCTCCCTACGCAGAGTGTTCATAACGCTTTCACTGCACAGTTTATCAGCTTACAATTTTGTTCAACAACATACAGTAAGTCTTTCCAATAAAACGAGGCCATTTCATACTTTGGAAAGTTTGAAGTTTTTGTCACAATGCAAGACAGCAATAGCTGTGGCTCTAGTTAAAGAACGGAGTCATGTAAATGAGTTGATCCCCAAAGTACCTGATGCACACTGGGAAGATGGGGTTAAATCAGACACATTCAGACAGGGATAGCTAAAAATTGGGAAGTGGTAACATAGATAAAAGGAAAACGGGAGTTACCCCATTAGCAATGTTGATGAAGTTTAGTTTTAGAACTGACCGTGGCTGGAGAATAAAATGTTTTTGTTTTTTTCTCCTTTTCTTTCATAGTTGGTGGTATACCTCCACTTCCCTTGGGATTTTTTTGTTTTACCCCTCATGGGGACTAGCGATGTAACTAATTCTTTTAGCCTTCCTTCCAAACTGTGAATTCTTTCCTTTTTGCAATTAGTATCAAAATCCTGTAAGACAGTTAGGATTTGCAAGGTGTCCCAACGCAGAAGAAAACTCCAGTGACAAAGTAAATCTGAGAGGAGAACATGAAACAAAATCCTTTAGAAAGAGCTAAAATACCCACTCTGTCCTTTTAAATAGTTTTAACTGCTCTTAATATAGTTGGGTTACAGCACAGGAACAGCATCAAGAGGGAGAGGGTGTGGAAGAAAATAAGCAGCAGCTGCAAGAAGTATGCAACGATAGCACTGGAAGAGAAAAGGTCTCTTAATTTTCCCTTTATAAGAATAAAAATACTTCGTTTGCTACCAGGGTTCAAATGTAGCAGTGTTGCTATGGTGACAGTGGTGCGAGGCACTAAAACAATGCCAGCTTTTTTCCCCTTCATGAATATTTTTCGAACATTTTTGCAGCATGATTGCCCTGAGTTCATGAAGCTCCTCTGTACTATGCTACAAGTACAAGCAGCGAGCACACATGAGCCTTTTTGCAAACTTCTCATTTGTGCACAGCTGGTATTGTTTAAATTAAGAATAGAAATAATTTCTGGGTTCAGAGACGAGCACAATAGAAGTGACAGAGCGTTAGTGTTCTAACACAATAGCAAGCAGTAGGGAAAAAACTTTTACAGCTCCAGGAGAAAGGGAGGATGGATCCTATTAATACTGTATGAATTTTCTTATTTGTTTTATGAGGGTCTTCTTGTTCTGGACAAAGGCTATGCATTTTACAGTTGTTCAGGAATACCTCAGCCCTCTCGATGAATTATTTGGAATACAGGCTTGTTAATCACTATTGCAACTACATTAACTGCCCTTAAATGCTGCCCTAAAGCCAAGGGGGGGGGGGCAAGGAGGGGAAATTTCCAGCAGAAGCAGAATTGAGAAGCGCTTCTGGTTTTCAGCCTTCTTTAAAATAAAATTCTGCTTTTATTCGGGGAACTTATGGTACAACAATTATCTACTTCCTTTTCAGCTTGCAAAATATCCGTAATATTACTCCTTACTTTTGAAGGTGTTTTTGTTGTTCATTTGTTTTGTTTTTTACACTTTTGTATCAGAATATCTCCCCTTCTGAGGAACCTCTACAAAAAGCCTTTGCAAGCACCATCCATAGCACATGTTGATGCATTTCTCATCTCAGTCCTCAAAAAGCTTCACAATTGCCCTGTGAACACTTTCAACAGTACCTGCTAGAAGTGTTTACTGAACTGCAAGCAAAAAAAAAAAAAAAGCCTAATAAGAATTTGTTCTGAATGGGATGACTGAATTGAACGTGTTCAAGCTGGAAGAGAACAAAATAATTATCTGCCAAAAGTTGGCACACTCACTGCTTACAGCAAAGTACTCAAAGGTTTCAAAGAGATTAACAGCAACACAGGATTCTTTCTTTCCTAAAGAATGTGCACACATACTATTGAAAACTGTTTACAGTAAATTTTATTGGGCTCTTAAATTAGGCTGGTTTTATTCAAGTTATGTACCACTGCCATATGTTCTTGTAATGCATCATTTCTCAGCACAGCATTGTTTGAAGAAAAAGCGATTATAGTAAACTGTAGCCACATCAAAATTGTCAATCTGGTTTAAGCATAGCTGTCTCCTCCACATGTGGCAAACAGTTCTCCTTCACACTGCAGAGCAGGCAAGAAAAAGCTGCTAAAGACTACAAGATACTGAGAGAGAGGTCTTGCTTCGCCACGGACCAACAGAGCACAGGAGGAAAACCTGCAATTTAAGAATGGTACAGCAATCAATAGACCACACGGGTCAAAGCAGAGTACGTATGGCCAAAACCGTAGCTATTAAAAGAGCCTGAGAATATTCAAAAAAATCAAATCCTGCTTTTTTTCTAGAAATTGATCGTTGAATTGATTGTTCAGCATCGAGGTGTTTTGAACAAACTTTCAAGTCCAGCTTTGCTAACACAAAACAACTAAACTGCATTATCCAATATTACCTTCAGCAGTCTGATAAAGCAGAGTGTAAGATGACACCTATTCTTCTGTATAATAGGTCTCTTCACAAATAAAAATGTTAGATACTACACATCTCCTTTCAGGTTTGTATCTATTACAGTACAATTGCAATCACAAAAGCCAATTAGTTCCTCAAAAGCAGAGCAGCTGCAGCAGTACTGCTGGATGAGGTTTGAATGCAAGAGGACAATGCTGTTGACCTGGGACTAAATGTGTCTAGGAAGGATGTTGCAAGGACGGTACTTAAAATGTTATTTTATTCTGCCACATTTAAAAAAAAAAAAGTAGGGTAAGTGGAGATTCTGACACGTAACAAAATAAAAGCTGGTGTGCACATTCTCAAGATGGTGCTGGACATGACCTGGGAAGTCGGTGCCTCTTTCACTAGGATAGATGTGGATGCACAGACCTTTAAAAAGATTTTAGCCTACAATTCTGTTGTTCCCTAATAACATACATTTAAGATTTCCCACCAGCCTTGACCATTTATGTACTCTGATTTACTAAAAGCTGGCATTGTGTATCAAGAAAAACACAGTATGGTGAAGCAGCTTGAACTTCAAATTTAATGCGCTCATTATATAAACCCCTAACTTCCTTAATGCATGTGAACAGCGAGGACATTGACAAGCATAATTTCAACCAAAATAGCACTGCATTAAAGCCTCTTCTCCAACTGCTTCCCTTAGCAACTCATGTTCGGGGTAGAGTCAAAATAACAGGATTTATTTTACTTTTATCTTTGCTAGTATTTCAGCTGTGTTTAAAGACATGAAAGCAATTCAGAAGTAAGACTATTTTAATCCCACTGCAGTCATTTCTCGTGTCCAAGGGAATTATGCTTGTTGCTGCCGTCCTTAGATTGCAATCGGAGCAATACCAGGATCCTTTCAAAATACCAGCTTTAGGACTGCGTTTAGGTAGGACCCCAACCCAAGTTTCAGCAAGACCAAAGATGTTCTGCCTTTTGCCTCTCATGCCTACAACTAACAAAATTATGTTGACAATTTAAGAATGGCATGTGCCCAGATCTCTGAAAGGTCAGTCATTTATCTAAATAAGTCACCCATATAATAAGTTCTGGCCAGATTAATATATTCAGTAGGGAATATATATTTCCTATACAAGGGCCCCAGTCTCTTGCCTTAAAGGAAAGGGACCACTCAGTTTTTCCATTAGAAGTAACTTCTACATACAGAAGAAAACAGCCTGACAAAGCTTGCAAGTGATCTTGTACTGTCCTGTTATTCTTCTAGTAGCTGAATCCTCCAAATAAAGATGAAAATCTGCTAAAATGCAAGTAGGAATCTTAGTCATCATTCAGAAGATTAAGCACATTGAGTATTTTAATAGCTAAATTACATGAAACAAGCTGCTAGGATGCTGCATTTTTTAGCTTTCTGTTCAAAACTGCTATAAAAAGTAACCTTTTAAGAGCAGCACAACATTCTCCAAGGGAGACTCATTGTGACAACTGAATGCAGTCCTTTGCTTTTTAGTTGTGCCACACACAAACTAATTTACGCCTGCAGTACCGGACCACGCTTGGGTGCTAGTTTGCAGATGCATGCCAGTGTTCACCATGCTTTTCTACCCGCTGCAAGTGTTGAATTCCTGAATTATTCATAAACACACAAGAAGCAAAAAGGGTCACTGAACCACTAGCTTGACAGACTGCATTCCAGCAGCTGGAGCGTTGCTGTATATCGCTATATCCCCTTCCTTCCCCCCTGCATTAGAGCACAGCAGATCAATAGGAAAAACATTGACTCCTGGGAGGCCAACCAAAAGGCTTCAAATTCTTGGCAGCTGCATTTGGAAAGAAACAACTCTGGATTAACTCTCACAAATCAGCAACTACCTTCTCAGCTCTCATATATTGCTGTTCACCTCTTCAAAATAAAGATCAAAGTTTAAAAATCATTACACCTCTACGAAGGAGCTCGCATCTCAATGCTAGTGCATCTCATGCA